AATCTTATTGAAAGTTCAGAAAGCTTACTTTCGGTACTCATACTTCATTATTATTGTTCATGGGTCATCAAAACAAAAGGATGACCTATTTACCTTCATACCTTCCCTTCTTTACAGCTCACCTGTTTGTAAGTAACTGCCTAATCCTGCAAGAAGTCCCTATGCCGCTATGCCTACTTGGACAACAAAGCTTAATTTTAAATCCTTAAGTATATGTTAACATTTCAGTCAGAAGTCTTTGCCCAAATGTAACATCTAGCATTAGTGGAATTGGTAATTCCTGTCTATTTTACCAGCAGCATTGTTTTCTAATGCAAGTTGTTCTCCATGTTCCAAGGGGCCAAATAAGACTGATCAGAGTTCACACATGGGATTGGATTTTCCATTTCAAAGTTTGCACCTAGAGTATTAAAGCAGGTTGATTCAGCAAAGGTGCTACCATTTGCGTAAGTCAGATTGATATCTCTGAGATGAAGGTTCTTGCAAGGTACTTTTGGACTGCAGAATATATTTACAGCAGAGGAGGTATGAGAGGTACCCTTTATGTTAAAGAAACGAATGTTATTAAGCTCAACAGATGATATCTGCAATACAATCACCAAGATGAACCTGTAAGCTGTTTGATAGAAAGCATGTATAGTTAGTATCGCAAGTTGGATATGTGAACTCACGTCTGAATCGCAACTATGTCCTGGACAATACTTCTGATCGATGATAATAGGATTTGAGACGTTGATCATTTTGATGTCTTCAAATGATATGTTGTTGACCTTTATTGCTTGTGGTCCTGGCCATGTCTTGATCCTGAGACCATTGGTAGTGCTATTAATCGTGCAATTCTTTACGCTTATTCCAGCAACATCCTTCTCGTTGTCATATTTGCCGAGGCTGCCCACACTGTTAAATGGATTTCATGAATTTCAAATGTAGTTTGGTTACTGGGGTCTGGGGAGATAGACACCAAATGATTATGTGTTACCTGATGCCGTGTCCTGGTCCACAATATACACTAAAGATCGCGATGTTAGTGTTGCCTGCTCCAATTGAGACACAATCGTCGCCTACACCAATTCTTGATGAAGTAATTTTGATATCAGAAGAACGACTGAGGTGAATGCCATCAGTGTTTCGACTGTTTCCAGGAGCTGTGATGTTGATTCCACTCATAAGAACGTTACTGCTGTCTAGGAAGCTAATGTGAAAGCATTTGCTATTCAACAAGGAGATATTGCTAATGGTTGCATTCGAAACTTTGCGAAATCTTATAGACTGCAACCATAGTGTAACAGACAATAAGTTACATCTTTATCAGATAAAACACATTTAACATAACAATGATACTTACATGGGGATATTCCTTGCATCTCTTTTTACCACGACAAGGAGGCCGTGCCCACGATTCTTCACCCTGACCATCTAAGATTCCAGTAAAATTTCCAGTGAATATGAAATTGTTCAGTTTTTTTATGACGATCCATGAAGGCTCTTCGAACTCATGTACGTCAGATGGTGCCTTCAGTGTTCCAGCAATCTCAATTTTGAGAGGATAGTTGTTGTAGCAAGGACCTTGGAAGGTGATTGGACTAACAAAGAAGGTTCCTTTAGGAATCAACAAGGTTGGTTCCCCATCCCAATCACATACATCATTCCATGCACTCAAAAATGCCTGAAACAGTCAGTAACATTATTGTCATTCTGCAGCCATGGTTTGTATAGTTTTTGTTGCAGGATTTTGTTTCAAAATGAGTAAAGAAATTTGCTTCGCTCGATAAATAAAAATTCATTTAACCATCTAAAACGATGTGATTACAAGAAAAACACTTTCCTAATTGGTTAAATCCCCAACATTTCTAAATCCTTCTGCCACAAACTAGGAGTAAATCAATTTCATGTAATGTAATGTTCAAAAACATATAACCCGAAATTTTGAACAAAATTCTTGAGCACTTGGATATAGTTTAGTCCAGCAGGCAGACGCAAAATCGTGGTAAAACTCACCAATTGACTGTCTGACTGCCCATCAGAAACTGCACCATATTGAGTCACATCGAAAATTCTTCTCATTGATTCAGGTATTGCGGCACTAGGCGCACTTGCTTCTGAGGTTGGATCATGAGCAGGAGCAGAAGCTGGAGCTGCTCTTGATGGATGATGAGTTTCAGAATGTGAACCAGGAGCTCCTGCAGTTGAAACAGATTCAGGATTTGGACTTGGTGCTGGTGCAAATCTTGAACAATATGTTGTCTCAATTGTCAAACATATAAGCAAAAATGATATAATTGTCCACATGAATGCTACCATTTTGTTAATCCTAAAGCTTGTCCAAGACTAAGCATTTTGCATCAATTTATATTGAAGTTACTCATAATCTATCATTAAAAGCTTAGATTAATATGCAATGAAATGCTTAGCTAATTTTTGGGAGGAGTTTCTATCCCCTTTTGTAACTCTAATCAGGTTATTTACATTACATTTCCTTCAAGATAATAAATTGCTTATTAGATAAATATGCATGAATTACTTGCTTTGAAATCTTATATACAAAACTGTTAGTAAATATGAACAAATGATAACTTGAAGAGTAATTTTCACTATATATAGGATTTGTTTTGAAGTGATATAATTAACATCAATTATGATTATATATATGTTTCACATTAAATTATATTTTGGGAGGGGTTAGATGTCTCATAAGTTATATGCATGTGAAGAAATTAGATGGAAAAATCTCCATTGTCAAACCAACTAACCAACTGACAAAACTAATGTTCAAAACATCAAATGTTGATCTGTCTGCTGGCTTGATCATCATATTATACTGTGTGTTCCAAATATAAAAAAAATATGATCAAATCATGATGGATCTATAAAAGACTAGAATCATCTGTTAAATTATGATGCAATTAGTAGATCATCATGGTACCCAAAAGTAGACATAATTAAGTTTTTTTTTTTTCCATAAACACTGATTAAGTAGGATACATCTATATTACATGCATAGAAAAAACATAGAGTTGGCCTGGGAGGAAAATACATCTATATATGCATAGAGAAAAAGGCGCTTAATACGGCTAATTAAGGGAAGAGTTTCTTGTTGTGACCATTTAAAATGATGATGCCACCATACAGTTGGGCAGCCTGAAAAAAATCCATGGGTTCTTTCCTTGGAACATTTCTCACTCCATAATGATGAGGTTGAGGTTGAGGTTGAACTTGAACATGGTATGGCTGATGAGTAGGCCTTGCTTTGTGCCGTTCGGTCTCTTCCAGAAGAGCAAACATTTCCATCCCAACTTTCTTAAGATAAGCCTGTGGTGGTGCCATTGATCAACTGCACAAAATACTTAATACTTAACACACAAGTACACTTGTTTATGAGTTGCAGCAAAGAGGTAGAGTGGCCAAAACCTTATATAAAGTTCCAGTAGTTCATGTGGATAAGTTTATTGACTTGCTTTCGGTAGTCATTGAAAGATGCTTATTATGTCTCTTCTTATCCCATACTAGCTTCTTGCTTTGGTCCCCTTTAACCAATTATAGTTTCCATACAACTTGGATGGGAGCAAACTCTGCAAGTATGTTAAGAATCAGATTCTTTTTATATGTCTTGGCAAAAATAATTGAAGCAGATTATCTTCACCTAATCAATTAGATATGGTAAAGTGGTGATTAGAACATATAAATGATCATGTTAGATCGGGTGGAAAGTACTTGTATAATCAAACAAATGTTTCGAGGTTCTTCATTCTGCGATGGGATAAGTTCCAACAGGATACCTGAGAATAATATCTACATATTTACTTAAGGATCATATAAGTTTCAACAGGATTTGAGAATCAGATCTACATATTTACTTAACTTGTTTTCTATTACTTCTCGGAATATATACAGGCCATGCCAGTTTGATTCAGAGGGGTGACGACAAAATTTATAACACTAAAATTTGTACACTAGACCTCCCACTTGGTTATTTATTTAGTGTACAAATTTTAGTATTATAGAGTTTGTTTGTAGTGTGCAAATTTTAGTTGAAAAATTCAACTATGATATAAAGTTTGTTTATTTCAATCAAACAATAGTTATAGATAGACTTATAGTTATAGTAAAATTCCTTGATTTATAATAACAAGTATTCATAGCTCTATTGGTTAGAAGTTAG